GGGAAAGGGTGTCTCCAAGAAGAAGCCCCCAGTTGGGCAGGTGCACCCCCCAGTTTTGGGGTGCTGGGAGAGCCTGGATCAGCCCTGACCAAGGCAGCTGTTGCTTTCCGAGGCTCAGAGTAGCCAGAAAACGCCCCAAAGGGGATGGGGCAAGGTGAGATGCAGAAGAAACCCCAAAGCAGACTGGGGAAACCGAGGCAGGGGCTCCCTTTGCTCAAAAAAAACCAAAAAGGGAATGGCATTTCCTTGTGCCTTCACCCACATCCATGTGGCTGCAGCAGCCCCGGGGTGAGGAGGCCCAAGTGTGCCTGGGTTGTCTGTGGAGTCTGAGCCCTCCTCAAAGCCCCTTCCCTGACATCCTTGAGGATGGAGATGACAGATCAGGGTCTCCTTTCTTGGCTTCTTCTCCCCCCCTGTTCCACGGAGACCAGTCCCTTCCCAGCACCCAGCCTCATGGCCACAAGCCACGGGAAGCCCTAAACCCGCCTCTTCCAGGGTTTTGGCTGTCTCCCAGCCTCCCCTGTACTCTGAGCTGGGTGATTTATCACCCTGGGAAGCTATCAGCCCTCAGCTAAATCTGCTTCGGGCAGCCGCTGGCGTATACTGGGGCATGAGGCACGTACAGGGGCTGAAGCCATTGCCAAAAGCCCTCACCAGGCAGGGGAGACAGCAAAACGAGGAGCAGGCAACAGGACAGGGAGGCAGCTGGACACTGATCCCACGAAACATGAGCATCCCGAGGGATACGGGAGCCACGTGCTAGGTCCAGAGCTCAGCCTGCCCTGGGAAGAAGCACCGCACCAGCAGTAAGAAAAAAAAAAAAAAAAAAGAAAAAACAAAAGTGAAATGTTTCTTCCCACCTGGCGTCGCTTCCCTGTGCCGCTGGTGGAGGGTCACAGCTGGACAAGATGGTCACCCTCGTGAGGTGACCACGTCTCCTCATTCGCCCCGCGTGCCTGGGCAGGGCTGTCGAAACCCTCGGGGCCAAGGGCTACAGCAGCAATTCGTGAAGGCAGGGGGCTTCAAGGAAGGCAGTCGGGGAGGGAGGGGTCCCAGCGGCTGCTGGGGGCTGCGTTTGGTGTGGAGCCTCCTCGGCATCCCCTCCCCAGGGCATGGAGCTGCCGTGGGAGCAGCTGCGAAGTGGATCTCTGCTGCACCGATGCATGGCGTCGGTTCCCAGAGGCAGCAGCCCGTTCAGGAGGAATTCATGCTCTCCCACTGCCGGAAAATGCGGAACACCTTGCAGGACTTCACCGAGAGACTCTGCGAGAGAGGGGAGCAAAGCGGCAACCAGAGGTTACGGCACCTCAACAGCACTTGCAACTGCCACCAACCTGCCTACAAAGCACACAAGGAGAGAAACTGCAGCAAAAAAACCCATCTGATATCTGGATATTAGGATATCTGAAATATCCTAACTGGCTGCCATGACATTAATTTGCTCCTCTTCTTTGTTAGCTCTATTTACCAGGACCAGAGGGGTGAAGAGCAAGGTGACTGCAAGCAAGAAGTGGGACAGGACTCCAACCATCCCCTGCTCCAGCTGGGTCTCGTGTGTCTGGCTCGTGTCTGGTCCCACGGGACCAGCTGGCAATTCACCGGCACGTGGGGCAGCCAGAAGGGACCGACAACTCACACGAAGTCCCCAAGACAAAGGCTGGCACGGGACTGCTCCACTGGTCCCTCCACCTCAGCCCTGAGCAAAGCAGGGGGGAGGCAGCAGGAGGAATCCAGGTGGGTGATGGGGCCCAGGGAGGCAGCAGCAGGACCTGGCTGCTCCATCACCGCTCAGGGTTGGGGCCTGTGGACTCAGCTCTGCTCCCCCGGCTCGGCCAAGCCACCGGTCCAACAGCCGGGAGCTGCCGGCCGCAGGATGGCTGCAGAGAGGGTCAGGAGTTCTCTACCAGGATGTGAAATGAAACTGGATTTTGGGCAGTGGAAGGGCTGTTATTTATAGCAGCCCTCGAGCAGATCTGCACACAACGCATCGTTGGCACGGCTGACACCTGGCCGAGAGGCTGGCCGACAAGACGGA